AAGTCAATTTATCAATGCTAATTGAATTAGGAATGAAAAGAACCTTCTAGAAGAATCTAGAAGACTAAAACCATTCCTAATTGCATTAGGAATGATAAATCATATTAGGCCCTCCCCTAGAACATTGGGCCGTACATAAAGCTCAAACCGGGCCCAGTTTGGTAAATTGGCCATAACTTCCTCAATATTCATCGGAATTGGGCTTATAATATATCGTTAGAAAGGTCTTTGCAAGCCCCATCCAACTACACTACTATTGGACCCATATCATAGACTAACCAAACTGGATTGGCTGTTTTCTTAAAATAAGTTTTCAAAAACAGAGAGAAGAGAAAAGAAATTAAAACTTTCCGCAAACTAGACCTTTCCACACTTTCGTTTCATTCGATTATGATTTGACGTGAAAGGTACTCATCACTGGGTTTGGTTTTGGGGAGACACAAATGGGTGTCTACACACCCCCGCCGAAAATATTACTCCGTCGCCACCTAAAATGGGAAAAGCACCTGAATATTGCTTGAAAACCCCAAAATCACTCTAAAAATACACCACAAATCTGCACCATGAAGCGTGGTAACTACTTGGAAAACGACAAAAATTATGCCGTCGTTGCCGTGAATCCTTCGTCGGGAAAGCTGCGGTAGGGGATATGAGGTGGTGATTGGCAGGAGATATGGGATGGCGATTGGGCAGGGCGGGTGGCTGTTGGGGCCGGTTTTGGAGGCGGCAAAGGGAATATGTGGTTCTCGGTGGGGCTAGGGAGGAGGGGACGGGGCTGAGGAAGGGGAATATTTTCTGGTGGTCCGGGTTTTGGGAAGGGGTGGCTTTGTTCTTCTTTTTTACTTGTTTTTTTATTTTATTTTTTTGGTTTTTATTTTTTGGACCAATCTAAGTGTGACATGTGGCATTTTAATTATTTTTTTAAAAAAAAAACCTTTTTAGCAGGTAACCAGTTTTGGGGATTGCAAGAAGAAAACGGAGGTGAAAGTTGGGATTATTGCAGAATAATCGGTAGTTGAGATTATTTAGAGTAAATTAGACAAAGTTGGGATTAATAAAGTTGACAGATAATTGCTCGTGATTCTAGTAATTTTTCTAAATTGTTTAATTTGAGCTTTCCTCAATATATTGTTGTTGGTGATGGCAAACGTATTCCAATTTTGGGCTATGGCAATTCCACTACCCCCTCACCTAGTCCACCCTTTCATCTCAAGCATGTCCTTTATGTCCCAAACATAATTAAGAATTTAATTTCTGTTAGAAAATTTGCTTGTGATAATTCTGTGTCTATTGAGTTTGACCCTCTCGGTTTTTCTGTGAAGGACCTTCTTTCGGGGACAATTCTAGCGAGGTGCAATAGTGTGGGGGACTTATATCCATTCTCAACATCTTCCGCTACATATGGAAATAGTCATCTTTCTCTAGCTGCAATCTCTCCTTCAACTTGGCATCATATAGTTGGACACCCCGGCGATCCTGTTTTGGATTTTCTTAGGATAAACAATTTAATCAATTGTAATAAGAGAAATAATTCTCATTTTTTCTATTCTTGTCCTTTAGGAAAACATGTACGGCTTCCTTTTAAGCCCTCTACTTCTATCACTTTTTCACCGTTTGACATTGTTCATGCGGATTTATGGACATCTCCTATTTCTAGCGAATTGGGTCATAAATACTATCTTGTATTGCTTGATGATTTCTCTCATTTTCTTTGGGTGTTTCCTATGAAATACAAATCACAAGTCTATGATATTTTTCTTAATTTTCGAGCATATGTTAAAACTCAATTCGAAAGAGATATCAATTTTTTTCAAAGTGACAATGGTCACGAATTTGATAATTCTCCATTTCACAAATTTTGTGTGACTAATGGTATGGTCTTCTGGTTTTCTTGCCCAAACACTTCTTCCCAAAACGGCAAAGCCGAAAGAATTATTCGCACCATTAACAATATGTCTCGCACCATACTCTTTCATGCCTCTCTTCCTCCTTTTTGGGTATATTCGATTAATATGGTTGCCTACATTCTCAATATTCTCCCTTCTAAAACCATACATATAGTAAGACTCCAACCGAAATTCTATATCGTAGAGCTCCTACATATGATCATCTTCGTGTTTTTGGTTGTCTTTGTTACCCAAACTTGAGTGTCGTTGCACCGCACAAACTTGCTCCTAGGTCCACACCATGTGTGTTTTTGGGGTTTCCTTCTAATCATCGGGGATATTTGTGTTTCGATTTGTCTATACACAAAATAATCATTTCTAGGCATGTGACTTTCGTTGAGGACATTTTCCCTTTCTCCAACATTAAAAAGTTTAAGGATATTGATTATGATTTTCTTGATCAAGCTCCCACTACCATTAACCGGTTAAACCCCATGATTTACCCACCCCACGCCATTACAGGCCCAGTTCCCATAAATTGCCCACAACACACTCCCACTCCACAATCTCCAACTCCAAGCTCCACGCCAAAACAGAAGGATCCGCAGGTGGGCTGCGGTACTTCAGGCCCAACCACGACCTCCCTGCCCAGCCCGCCATCTTCTCCACATACCCCCCCTTCTTCTCCTAGTGTGATCCAATTCGAATCTCTTCCACACCCAAGCCCAATTCCTTAACCAAGGCATGACTCACAGTCCACTCACAGCATGCACACACGTGCCATGAGTGAGATTTTTAAACCGAACCCTAAGTATCAAGCACATCTTACGGTTCAAACTATCTCCCCCATTCCAAAAAGTCTGAAACTAGCCATGCTTGACCAAAATTGGAATGCCGCCATGAATGAGGAATTTAATACTCTTACTAAACAGCATACTTGGGATCTTGTTCCACGACCGGAAGGGGTCAATATTATTCGTTATATGTGGTTATTTAAGCACAAATACAGGGAAAATGGTGACTTGGAGAGACATAAAGCAAGACTTGTTGTGAATGGCAAGTCTCAACAGGTTGGTGTGGATTGTGATGAGACTTTTAGTCCCGTGGTAAAACCGGCGAATATTCGTACTGTTTTGAGTATTGCTTTGGGTAGGGACTGGCCCATTCATCAGTTAGATGTCAAAAATGTGTTTCTTCATGGTGACCTCAAAGAGACCGTATTTATGCATCAACCTCCTGGATTTGTAAATCTCAATGCTCCCACTTATGTTTGTCGACTCCGCAAATCTCTTTATGGTCTTAAACAAGCTCCACGGGCTTGGTATCAACGGTTTGCTAATTATCTCTTGCAGATTGGTTTTGTTTGCAGCAAAAGTGATAATTCCCTCTTTATTTTGCGACATGGTGCTAATGTTGCATATCTCTTGCTATATGTTGATGACATTGTTCTTACAACTTCCTCAGAACAACTCAAATGTGATATTATTGCTCTTCTTAAGTCCGAATTCTCCATGTCTGATCTGGGGAAGTTGAGTTATTTTTTGGGAATTTCTGTAACCAGAACTAAGGACTCCATGGTCCTTTGTCAGAGTAAGTATGCAGAGGAAATTATTCACAGGGCAAAGATGGACAATTGCAAGCTGGTTGTCACTCCAGTCGACACTAAGTCGAAACTAAGTGCTCATGATGGTGAGCCAATGAAGGATCCCTCTCTTTACAGGAGCCTTGCAGGTGCACTTCAGTACCTCACTTTTACCAGACCTGACATTGCTTATGCCGTCCAGCAGATCTGTCTGTTCATGCATGGTCCTAGGGAACCTCATTTTAACGCTCTTAAGCGTATTATTAGATATATCAGAGGCACTTATGATCATGGCCTACATTTGTACCGTTCTACACCTACAAGACTTACTTCATACACAGATGTTGATTGGGCCGAATGCCCGGACACTCGGCGCTCCAATTCAGGGTATTGTGTCTATTTGGGTGATAATTTGGTCTCATGGTCCGCAAAACGACAAGCTACATTGTCCAAGTCAAGTGCCGAAGCAGAATATAGAGGTGTCGCTAATGTTGTTTCTGAATTATGTTGGCTCCAGAATCTACTTCTTGAGTTACATTGCCCCATTCGACGGGCATCCTTGGTTTATTGTGATAATATCTCCGCCGTTTACTTATCTTCTAATCCGGTACAACACCAACGTACCAAACCCATTGAGATGGATATTCATTTTGTTCGCTATAAGGTCGCTCTTGGTGAGATCAAGGTCTTACATGTTCCATCTTCATACCAGTATGCGGATATTTTCACGAAGGGATTACCTCGCCAACTATTTCTTGATTTCATAGACAGTCTCAGCATTCGACCTTCTCCCACTTCGACTGCGGGGGTGTGATAGATAATAGGTTTATATTATCTTGTGAATATTATGTAAAATATATCTTGTGTAATTTAGGTTATCTCATGATTAGGTTGTAAATCCTATATATATTAAATTAATGAGAAAGCCTCCTCCAAGGAGAAATACACTATTCTACAAATGTGTATTTTTCATTATTTTAAATTGAATTTGATCATTTGTTCACTATCCTACATTCCTACACACATTTCTCTTACTCATCTATCTATGTCATATAACTCTGTCTCAAATCCAGCAATCCAGACCAACCATCTTCCATACCAACTATCGACTCACACCAATATTGGTAAGAATGTTTGATTAAAAAAAATTGAAAAATAAATAGCTAAGAAAGCTTTAAAATCAAATATTTCTAAAAATTAGCTAAAATTAAATTAAATAAAAATATAATTCTTAACCTGATGGATTAGGATTGAGCAATTCCTAACACATTACTCAACTTGAAATGACTCATGATTCGGAGTAACTCGACCCAACCAACTTGATTGAAAGGTCTTAAAATCATGTAATTGTGTGTGAAAATGTATGTATAGGACTATAGCCTTTACCTACAAGGCTACAAGTCGTCAAGTCCACAACCAAACTATATCATGACATTTTGGGCCATCAAAGTATAATTATCCTTGAATTTTGGGCCCAATAATAAGAAACCCCGTATCTCAAAACTTTATAAAATCATCGATTAAACCCAAAAAACTTCCTAATCCTCTTATACTCTCTCTCCTCTCTATATAAACCACGCTTCTTTGAACTCAATAATTACTTCTTCCTGAAATTCCAATACATAAAAAAGTATAACAAAAAAAGTTAATTTTTTTTTAGTTTCTATTGCGCCGAATTTTCTTCTTATTCAAAAGCGTCAGTTTTTTTCCCCAATTTTGATTTCTAGGGTTTATAGGGGTTTTGAATATTTGATTTGAAGTGAAGATTGAAGAATTTGGTCATTCTGGCTATGGATTACGAGCCTTGTCCTTCTGATATCAGTGGTATGTTTGTGTATTTTGTTTTTTTTTTTTTTTTTTTAGAAAATACATTGTTGTATTGTGATGTAATTTTGAATAATTCAATTTCTGCTCGAATTTTAGGGTTTAGGGTTTTTGTTTTTCATGAATTGATGATTTTATTGTTGCTGTGTGTTAAATTATGTTGAAATTTATACAGTTTCAAACTTTGTTGCTTTGATTGTACATCTAATTATCAGGGTTGTGTTTGCTACAATTGAATTGATTGATATTTTTGGAATTGCTTATTATTTGCCCCCTTTTTCTGGTGATTCTCTATTAGTGGTTTACGAACTTCAGTAAAATAATCTGAGCAATTGCGATAATTGTTCAATGATTCAGTAATTGCCGTAGGTAGGCGGGAAATTTGATTTTGAAGCTAAGCTTTGTTTAGTGGGAGTACAAATTTCTGGTGACATTAACTGCTTCTGCTTCATGTTGTCGAAATTGTTGCTCAAATTGAGTGATTTTATATCTTCGTTACGTTATATCGGGATGCCAGACATGTGCGTGAGATTTTGATTTGGGAATTGGATGTATAGTGGGAAGTGTTATTTTACTCCAGTGGAAAAGTGAATGATGCCCAGTATTTATAAATAAAAATTGTTATGTTTGGGAGGTTGCCTTTGATTTACAAGTTTTGTTTGCTGCATAAGCTTTATTTATCTCTGTATTCATACGCGCTTAAAATTAACTGTAAAGGACACACAGTTATTAAAAAAAATAATCATGTTTTCTGATTGAAGAATACCGTAGATACTGATGAAGATCTTCCTCCACATCAATATAGAGTTCAGAGAGCACCCCACATCGCAGAAAACGGAAATTCAATGCTAGGTTCAGGACCTTATCGCAGAGTGCAGGGAGATATGGAGCACCAAATCCATCATCTTGAAAAGGAAGCCTATTGTGGAGTTCTTCGAGCCTTCAAAGCACAATCTGATGCAATTTCTTGGGTAATTTATTTTATTTGATGTCAATGGGGTGTCAGATGCCCATGTTGTCAGATTCTGAATCACTTTAAAAACCTCTTTTTCAGGAAAAAGAAAGCTTGATAACGGAACTCCGGAAAGAGTTGAGAGTTTCAGATGATGAACACAGAGATCTTCTCGTGAGGGTCAATAATGATGATATCATTCGCAGAATAAGGTTTGGGTTTTTTACGTTTTGTTTTATACCTGTATGTTATTGCTTTATTGCTGAGATATGTTTAAGACTAGATTTATTCAGTTACTTCTTAACCTGTGAATCTGTAGGGTATAATGCTTCTATTTAGAATCTAACTCCAAATTAAACTTTTCTGGCTTGGAAAAATAGTTGCTAATGGGTTATGGCTCTCCATCTTATGTCTTGTCAAAAGAAGCCAAACATTGCATGAAATAATACTCCTAAGTTAAAAATTTTGCTTTTCAATTGACAAGCATAGTTTTCTAGCTGATATGTAAGCAGATTGCAACAAAAATCCTAGCTTTCTTTTCTTAGGAAGACTTTCCCCCTTTTTTTTGGCGAGGACAAGCCCTCTTGTATCTCTTGTATGTTGAAGATATTAAATGCTTCTGTTTCTTTGTTGTGATGCAATATGTTGTTTTTACTGTTTATTAAGGGAATGGAGACAGGCTGGAGGGCATCAGACTCTGAGTACATCGCATCCTATAAATGATGTATCCAGCCCAACTCCTGTTTCCCGCAAGAAGCAGCGAACAACACAATCTGTTCCCATAGCACAACCTCCAGCTGCATCTGTTGGACCGCGAGGCAGAAAACCCAAACAGGTTTGTAGATCTTGCTTGTTTAAGTATCTCATCTGATATTTGTTGGCAACTTCCATTTCTGTTGTTTCTTAACCTGTTTGATATATCTGAGGTCATATCTGGTGTATTCTCATTTACGTCCATACAGTTCCCATACAGTAATTCTGCTGCACATGAAACCTCTATGCCTGGAGAAGGTGAAGAGTTGGTGGGAATGAAAGTGTTGACCAGGTGGCCAGATGACAACCATTTTTATGAGGCCATGATTACTCGATACAATGCATCTGATGTATGTCATGTCATTTCAAATAGGATTTCAGTTTTCTCAAAATCAAGAACCATTCTAATAATTCTATGGATAATTATCAGGGCCGACATGAGTTAGTGTATGGTACTCAAACACAAGATGAATCTTTTGAGTGGGTTAATCTCAAGGAGGTGAGTGTTAATAGTACATATAAGTGTTTATTTAATTTAACAGGATATCCAGTGCAAATATATTCTGCATTTGATTGTGGTGTGCTACTAGGTTTCTGCAATGACATCAATGAGTTATTTTTAGAGGACATGAGCAAGACATGTTGCCTTAATGCCTTGTGTGAATATAGGTTCAGAGTCATGTGACATTTGTCTCCTGATTGCTGGTTTTTTTTTTCTACCATAATAGAGGTTGTCAAAAGTTCTCCCCTCCAATAAGGAAGTAGGACCCCTTGACATGATGAGCTTTTAGCTATAGGGCAGTGGTGCTTGTAAGTTGTGACGTTCATTGCCTCTTACCCTCATCTCATGCTTTAACTTCTGCTACTTATGTATTAATGACTAGAGTGCTGGATTCTGTAACTCCTGGTATTGATTAGTAATGCTGAATCATGGTTTGAAAATACATTTTTGGTCGCGATTGCGGGAATGGTCACTGTGTTGCGAGAGCGGAAATGGTGCATTGACCGCGTACTGTGTTGCCATTTATCTTGATGCGAATTTGATTTCAATGTCTTTTAAGGACTTATTATTAAACTCTATGCTATTAGAGTAGTTACATTAGGCTATTAGAGGCCTAGAATCATTAATGAGGAGGAATGAGGAATATTTTACTATATCTTGAAAAGTAATTTTTGAATGTAACACCTGGGGCAATTCAGGGTTGTAACATTTGGTTCGGACGAGATTGCAGATTTTGAAACATCCATTAATGAACAGGCTGATTTTGGTTTGGTCAACTGAAAATCCTTTATCATACCGCCTACTTGAAACGATTCAGATGTATTTTAGCAGCATGAGCAGAATGCTGGTGTAAGCTCACGTGCTACTGACTATATTGTAATCCTGATCAAAAAACTCCTATCTGAATTGGTGTATTTGAACAAACGAGTTTTGTTTACTCAGAATTTCAAGAACATAGCTAGATGTATTGTGCTCATGGTCTCTGGCCCTTGGTGATTGGTCAATTATATAGCTTTGTTTTTGCAACTTTGAACGGGTGTGTAGTAGGAATTAGATAAAGGTTGGAGTGTGATGGAATTTTTAAATCTAGGAAAGTCCATGATTACCATTGTTATAACTGTCAATATTTGGAGAATGTCCATGTAAAATAGGAACTGCTGACTATAATGAAGGCAGAGTAGGTTACATTGAACTTTTAAGTACTAAGAAGTTTTTTTTTTTTTTTTTGAGGAAAAAGTACTAGGAAGTTTTTGAGTACGCACCTGTAAGCTAACTACTGATGGGTATATTGAACTTCATAATGCTTGGATTGTGTATAATGCTGATCACCAGTTTTTGCTTGTTGGGTTAGTAGCTTTAATTACCTGACTGAAGATGGTGGCTTTAGCTGTTTGCTGGAATTACCTGATAAGAATATAGTGGTTTAATTGCCTCAGGCCTCCTCCAACCCCCCCCCCCCCTCCCCTCCAAGTTGTAGCTGGGATGGGTGTGGGTAACCTGTGCATTTATAGCAGTATAAGAACTTAATATCAAGAATAATCACGTACTGAGGATGCAAGATGTGATGATATTGTTGAAACTAGAGAGAATTCAATAGTGGTCAATGAACTATTTTGCTTTCATGCTTATGGGTGTATATCTGATTTTCAAACAATATTAATTTAAAGTTCATGTAACTGACTGTGCCAATGGTAGGAATCATACTAATATTTTTTTTGTATAATTTGTCTAACTGATGCATATTAATCAAAACAAGTCACATTTATTGAAGTCATATGTTCGTTTGTTATTGATGAGAGGGAAATGCCTTATGTTGTCAACAGCCTCTTTCTTTGCCTTCTGCTTATTTTCTACTTTTTCTATTAGTATTAAACTTGTCTATTCAAATTTTCATAGATACCTTTTGAGGATATCCAATGGGTGAATAAAGATCCTGGACTATCTCATAGAGGGGGCCCTGGAGAAAAGAGATCAATGAACAACATTGGTGCAGTTCCAGGTGCTGGAAGAAAGCAGAATAGGAGTGAGATTCAGAATGGCACTGGAAATATGACAGATGACATTGAGATTCTCCATACTGATACATTGATTAAGGAGGTATTGAACAATATATAACGGACTTTATTTGTAGGCACTATTATATGCTTATATTGCAAGTCTGGTTTATGTGCTATTCTTTGTTTTCATACCAGGTTGAAAAGGTAGTTGCTGCAAGTAATCCTGACCGCCTTGAAATTGAGAAGGCGAAGAAAATGCTGAAGGTATATTCCTCTTTGCTTGTGCAAGTATTCTAGTGTACCATTTAATTGCTAGATTCTGATAAGCAGTCAAATGTACACTTTGCAGGAACACGAGCAAGCACTTGTCAATGCAATCTCAAGGCTTACATATGTATCAGATGGTGACAGTGGTAATAGACTCATATATATTATGTGATGAAAAGTCTGTATAAAATCAATAACCAGGACATAACTTGAAGTACTGTTTAAGCAACCCCCCCCCCCCCCCCCCCAAAAAAAAAAAAAAAAAAAAAAAAAAAAAAAAAAACTCTTCTAATCTCTTCTGAAAATTGAAACAAAATGAACATAGAGGAACAACTTGCATGCCAGTATAACAATTAGCAATAGTTAAAAGCATTAGAACTTCCAACCCTCACTTCCTCCCAAAATAAATGAACAGAGGGTTGCAGTCCATCCTCCTGTGGTGGATATCATCTTTTTTCTGGTGTGAAGGATGAGCAACTGTTGCACGGTCAGGGTGGTCATGCAATGTTAAGCCTAGCCAACACGCTAAATTATCAATTTTCTTGTGGATTATCCAGTGTGATGTTATTGGAGTAAAAATGTGGAGGTAGTTTGAACTATCAGGTTCTTGCAAGTTCTGGATTCCACTACCAAAATGTTTGATGTTTTAAAAAATGTTTTCAACAGTTTGAGATTTCGAGCTGTATTTCCTCCCAAAAAGAAGGTTCATTTTTTAGGATTAAATTACTAAAATGAATGAGAATCTGATAGCAAGGGGAATTGTGATTTGGGCTTAACTGATGTAACTTTCATGTTTTCATCATGTTTTACCTTATTTTTTTGGAAATTATCATTCCATTTGGTTAACAACATAAAATTTAACACAGTGGAAATACTTTTTAAAGTATAAAAAAAGTGTTCATTTATGTGAAATTTAAGACATTCTATTACTTTTTTGTCAAATTATGATGTTCTAAACTCTTCTTTTCACCTGGGCTCCCTTCATACCTGCTTTTGGACGAACCTAACAGCGGAGCACTAAGGGCAAAAATTATTTTTGTGTGAAGGAAGAGAGGGGGGGGGGGAGAGAGGTTTGATCTAATGAATTCATGGTTTCCGAGGGTCATCCCTGAGGGCCTTACCCCCATGGATTACCCTCTCCACCTAATCAATCACCTTTCATGTAGAGGCGTAAGCTGGGTAACTATGCAAAATGGGCAGAAGGGTTTTTACACTTTTGTAGTTCATGTCATTTGGTGTGGAATGTGGATGTGTTAGGGTAAAAACGATGGGTGAAAAGTTAAAACCTAAGTCAATATAATTTTTGTTTCATCTCTCTGCTATATGTAATTTCTTTTGGCTTCATTTCTTTGTTTTAGGTAAATTCTCGTCTTCATTTTTAGGTTGATTTGTGTGTCCGTGATTGTTAAACAGAACTGACTGATATGCATTGACTTCAACCAGATGGAGATCAACAATACTAGCGTAGCAAATCAGATACTTGAGTGCATCTGGAGTTGGCAATTAGCAAAAGCCTACATATTAGCAGTTGCTTAAGGTAGAATGCAAGTTGCGCGCACAATCGAGCTTTATCTTTGAATCTGAGGCACGTTCCACAATTGACTTGCTGCTGGTCCTTGTGATTGTTTTAGAACAGATGAACTGGGAAATTCTTTTTTATAATGAGCAAGTAGTGATCAGTAAATTGTACAAGTAGGTTCCATGTGAAAATAAATAATATTTTGATTTGTATTTATAGATAGTAGGTAGTTTTGCAGGATTAACAATGTAATTTTTGTTGATTTCTAGATTATGCATTTTAAGAACAATGAGAGTGCAATTATACACCTGTTAGATGCATGTACCCTCTGTCAAATACAACAAAATAATAGGTGAATTATACACCAAGCCTATGTGCCATAATTGCCTAAACATTACAAAATCAAATCGAAAAGATCCCAATTCCCACCCTAACTATACACATATCCCCCCTTACTTTCTCTGGCGTTTCTTTGAGTGTGAATCTGCATCTACACTGCCACCATCTCGGCCTCTCTTACCCATAGCTGCGATTGCTGCTGCCCTCTTAGGTGGTCGACTGCTGCTCCTATTTCCTCTACTTTCTCTTTCCTCCTTTCCCGTCTTTTCCTTACTAAGTTTACTACCTGAGCCATTCTGTGGACCCTCGTCTTTCCTCCTGTCACTCTTAACACTACTACTACTGCCGCCATTACCATTCTTCCTTTTATCTGAATTCTTCAATGACTGCAAAAATAAAGTTTTACCTGAGGCTGATCCTGAAACCTGCTTTATCTTATTTGAGGAATTTCCTGGACTTGGCTTCTTTTTATCGGCCTTAGCCTCAGAACTTTCTGTCTTGCTCGATATAGGAGTGTTGGGGTTCGGATTGCTGTTATTCTTGCTTGATGAGCTTCTTGACCCAAAACTCTGATCTCTGGTTCGCTTCTTAGTCACAGTATTGAATGACGTTGATGATGCTTTCTCCCTTTGCTGCTTCACCATCTCCCCAATAGGAGCTTTTTCATCAGGTGGTGTAGCTGGTGCTGGGCCTGCTGGCTCCCTTTTCTCACTTACGCCTCTTGATGATTTTCCTGCTATGGAACTTCGTTTTCTACAAGCAATCACCAGACCATTTACAGTTAAATTAGGCTGCTTTAGATCAGCTTGATTGGCCTCAGGTTTTGTTGGCTTTGGTAGGGGTGCTGGTTGGACAGGTTTGGAAGGGCGAGACTTGTGATCGTGTGGAGATGATAATTGCGATTGGAATTGTTTGTTGAGTAGTTGTCGAAGCTCGAGTGCTGCTTTGTGTTCTGAAGATCTTTTTGTGAAGAAGACAATGGCATTGTTGATGAGGAGCATTAGGTCACGGTAGAATTTGGTTTGACAATCTGAATACTGGCCTTCTTCCAGTCTTCTCTGGATTGTTTCCAGATCAATGTGCTGCTTTATTAGGTTTGTATATTTGGGAGTTTCCTGCAATTACAATGAACACTTTCATTCTTGATGATAAATGTACAGCACAGGACACAGATATTTAAGCAAAAATTGATTTGCAGGGGTCACTTAAATCCAAATATTCAATAGCAAACTAAATATCAAACTAATTTCATTTTTAGTTGATTTGTACACCAATAGTTAGCTACTCCTGTTCTCTTCCATTACTTCAATTCAGTTCCTAATTTCCTTCTCTCATAAACAATTCAATTTAGCTCGGCTTCGCTCAGTAAATCAGAATAGACCCTTAGATATGTAATTTTATTTAATTAAATATTTTTGCCCAACACTTCTTGTAATTTTATTTATTAATTTTTTTCAATTTAAAATGTTCTCCACTTGATAAATTTGGAAGAAAAAAACAAAATATCTTGTAACCATTCACTAGGAAAGAAGCATCCCAATCAAGGATAACGACTCTGAGCTATCTCCTCACTCACCCTCCATTTAGAGATTGCTATAAAGGACATAAAATACACGAAAATCAATCTTAAATCTAAATTGAGAGGACACAAACTCACACTAATTAATACTGTACAAAGTAGCCAATAAAGCACTCACGTCAACTTTTTTTAAAGATCAACTTTTGATACTCGTTTTTAAGTGTTAGTTGTAGACTTGAAACTTTTGTTTCTTATAATCCCTTATGACATGTATTCTGGTAGCCTGGTCAATAATTAAAAATGTTATGCCAAACAGGCAAATAAAGTACCAATATGGAGTATTCCCTATACCGTTTTGTAATAATCGCAATATTTTAACTTAGCAATAAATATACTTAGCACCATACAATTGGGGATAGAGAGAGTAACTCGATATTTAAAATAAATCAATATACTTAGCACCATACTTTAATCATAACATGATAATTAATCCATAATTTTACCTGACTCTCAAGCCGACGCTCAAAAAACGACCCAAGCTTACGAGCTCGAACAACATCAAGAAACTCAGCCAACGTACGCGATTTTCCCTCACCACTCGACTTAACCGCCGGAGATTGATTCTCCTCGCCGCTACTATTCCCGGAAAACACCCCAATCTTTTTTCCCCTCTTATTCTCATCACCAATTTTATCATTATCATTACCATTATTACAATCATCATCATTTTTCTCACTCCTCCACAAACTTGCCGTACTTTGTAAGTCACTACTCTCCTTCACCCCTCCTCCTCCTCCTCCTCCTCCGTCGTCTTTCGACTCCGCTACCGATTCCACCAATTCGCCCGAATCAACCCGCTCTCTCCTCTCCTTCTCACTTCTTCGCTCTTCCTTCGAGTTCGAGCTCCCGTTACACGAGTCATCCTCCTCGCCGCCGTCAACCGGTTCACCCATCCGGTCCGGTTCGGACCCATCCGGCTCGACCGGGACCGGTTCGGGTTCATTTTTCACCTCGTTGATTTCCGTTTCTCTCTCCTCTATTTTCTTTGGATCGGAAATATTTTCTCTCTCCTCTTTGATTTCTTCCTTCACGTCACTTTCTCTTTCCTCCTTTAATTTCTTCACCTTCAATTGCAACGAACTGCATGAAAAAAAATTTAAAATAATTCCTAAATTTAGAAATTAAATCAATCCAAGAATCAATAAATAAAAACCGAATTAATCAAACATAACATAATTTCAGATCGAGATAATTAATTACACAATGGAAAGATCGTAACGCTGAAGGTCACGCCGGAGTTCGGCAACACGAAGGCGGCGCAACTCCTCAAGCCACAAACCGGCATCATCGGCGGCAATATCTCCGGCGACATCGGAAGCGAAGCGGCGTTTAAGGTCGCGGTATTTCTGCTGGCATACGAGAGGAGTGAAGTGAGAGAAAGAGGTGCGATTATGGAGTTCTCTTGAAACGGAGTCCCAAGCGTCGATGCCGTGACGTTGAACGGCGCAGGCAAGTAAGAGTTCTTCCTGAGTTCCCCAAGATGACGGCGGAGTGACGGTGGATGTTGCGGCGGTTGCGGTGGTGGTGGTTTGGATTTGAGAGGTTGAAGGTTCAGCCATGGATGGTGAGTTGAGGTTGAGTTGGTTTCTCTCTCATATGGTTTGTTGTCGTATGTTTTGTTGGTGCCTGGTGGTGGTGTTTGATATTTTACTGGGTTTTTTTGTTTTTGGGTTGGGCTTTAAGTGGCTCGGCTTAGCGGCTTGGATAATGGATAATGCAAGTTGATTTGATTGGTGAAAATGGGAAATGTGTTTTGTGTTTATGACTATCTTTGTTTAAAAAAGTACACAAGGAGGAGATTATTAATGGACTACTCGTATTAGTCTATACACATATCAAACAAAAATGTTACGGAGTACATGTTATGAGCCTAATTATAAATCAATGTATGAGTATTGTTTATTTCTATTGATCCCGCCAGCCCTTATTTTTTGGCCCGATAAGCCCATAAGGTGAAGTAAAGGTAATTTAATATTGTAATGTAAGACAAGATGTGGTTCCTACAACTAAAAATGGTATGGAGCAAACTTAAGAAACAAATTCGGTAAATATGAAGGGAAAGAGGGAGTCTCAATTTTTAAATTTTCATTTCTACTTTTGCACTGTTCATATACACTGATACATCATTTGGGCTAATTTTTATATTTTATACGGAGTACATAAGAATATATATAGTTAATTGGTAAATTCGCATTAATGTTTTATAATTTACACTTATTGTTAATAATAGAAGTTATTGGTCAAAGTAACCCATTGTTCCTAATTTACCCACTTATTTCTTAGAGTATCTTTTTGTTTGAGCAATTGAAAGACATTAACAAAGAATTTTTCATTTTACACTAAACTTACATTTCAAAAAAAAAATCAAAATGAATACAATTTTAAATTAAAAACAATTAAACTCGGTTTCAATTTTTTGTGTCTAATAAATTTATAACCTATTAACACAGTAAACATACATTCAACACAAAATAGAGTATATCAAACACAATTCAATTATAATTAGGGATGGCAGGTGGGTATTAAAATGCGGGTCCTGTACCGCACCTGCCCCAATTGGAGTGGGCATGGGTCATATAATGATTTAGATGGCAAAATGATATATTTATAACACAAATATTGTTAGGTTGGCGGGTAAAAAACGGGTGGTGGTCTGGTGGATATCCTCATGGATGGTGGATCTAGATTTCTACCCACTTAGGCGGGTGTGGATGTTAAAATTTTAGTATTTTACCTGCCGCTAGTAGCGAATAGGTGGCGGGTATAAAAAAATTTTGGCGGATGCGAGTATAGGGGAGATGGTACCCGTACCGCCCAATTACCATCCCTAATTATCATATAAGAAATCACTTCCATACTAGTATTTATTAGTAATCGCAAACTATTATCAAAATTTCTCATATTTACAAAGCAAAATGTAGTGCACCCATTCACCTTGTGCACTGTACCAAAATTTCTCATATTTACAAAGCAAAATATAGTTGGTCATTAACCTGTGTGCACTGTACTTTGCTTTGCTTTTGTTATAATGTACTACCTCCGTAAAAATTATGTGCAACTTTGGGGTATTATCAGGGCCGTCCCAAAGTATACGGAGGCCCGTGCGATTAAAAATAAATGGGGCCCCATCTAATTTATAATTGTGTCACCCAAAAAAATAAAAATAAAAAGTGAAGCTCACAACAGTCATCGAACCTTGAACCACTTATAAATATTCTCCAACATTTGATCATTGAGCTACCTACGAAGATTCTCAATAATAAGGCTAGATTATTTGTTATATTCTTAAATTGATATGAGGCCCTATTAACTTTTGGGCCCTGTGCAGTTGCCAGTTGCTCACCCTGCACACTCTAAGGGCGGGGCCTGGGTATTATTTGTGAGATATAAAATATTCCAAAGTTGCACATAACATTTAACGGAGGTAGTAAATGGAGTTTTATTGCAATTTTTGTAAGACAACGATTACTTAAAAGGGTGGCTCGGGTTGGTGTCCAGAAATTGGGGAATACGGGGAACAAGGGAGGCTCGGAGGAGCTTCCTTTGGCCTTGCCCATTCAGCGCTACAAGTGAAGATGAATGCCTGTCTCGCGGGGCTACAATGGGCTAACACAAGGTCAATTTGTGCGATTACTATTATATAGACTCTACTATAGTGCTTCGGTGCCTTAGTGCTGGATATATCCGTTTCTTGGACAATTGCTCGTATACATCGCATCAGCAACAGTTTTGATTGGTGCAGCGTTCATAAGGCAAACTGTAGTTTGTCCTCCTTTAATTTTGTTGTGTTGTTTGTTCTGTTTAAACTTTTGTGAATTAAAGCTTATGTAAAAGAAAAAAGATTACTTAAAAGTAATAAAAGGATTATCGGGAGTAGTATCACCTTAAATTAAACAAATGGAAAAAGTGTGCACAAAACGTGTTAGACTTCAACTTTAAAGGGATGGTATAGACTTAAAACTATACATGACATGTTAAACCCCTTTTTTTTTTTTGACATGTTAAACCTTCTACTATATGGGAAAATAAATTAAAAAAATTAAGTATACAACAAATAAATTTCATAAATTAGAGATATTCCATACTAACCCGGTCCAAAATAATTTAACTATCGCCCGATTCAAAATTGATCTTCACTTAACTTGGTTTTACTCAAATTCAAATGAGCTTGAAATAATCTAACAAATGACCCAATTTGACACATCTAAAGTTATCACAATTAATCCTAATAATCCAAAATTACTCCCCAAATTTCACCAAGGCCATCATATCCCCTTCCTTAATCTCATCTGATTTTCTCTCTACTCCTTCTATAACCTTAATCCCTTTATTACCAATCCAAACTCCACCTTTCAGATCACTTAACACCTTTTCAAGCCGCGCATTATCATAGCGCAGCATTTCTAACTGCCGCTTCAAGGCTAAGCACATCTCTGTCAGGGCAACATTACTAACCCCACTCCCATATTGTCCCACCTTCTTATCCTCATTTTTCACTTGTTCAATCATGATCTTGTTAAGCACGATTGGGATCCCATGTTGTGACATCTTAGCCGTTGGATTCTTCACCAAAGCTTGAATACCTTCGGATATCTTAACTCCCCACTGAAGCTTCAATACGACACCGTTTCTGATTTGAAATACCGACTTTGCCCCTAACTCCATCCCATTAACAGCACTCTCCACCTTCGACTTCAAGGGTAATTTAGTAGTTTTACACCCATCATTTCCATAATCACCATTATCCGAATCAATCATCTCGATTGACTTATCATCCGTCTTGAAAACGACGTCGTTGCGCTTCAATAAATTGAAAGGAGACAACAATGGAGAACACTGAGATTTCTTAATCGAGAAATCACCAAAATGAGGATTAAAACTGAGGAAGATTCTAGGATTCGACGTCAATGAGGCGAAATTGAATTCAGCAGTCATAGTAATGGGGGCGTCAATTCCAAAATGCTCAAATCCAGTTTTAACGAGGAGAGAGAAGGGGTTAAACGCATCGTTTGGACGGTACGAAAGGCGAAACGATGGGCCGGAGTCGAAGACGACTCCTAAGCCTAATGAAAGTTCCTTGGAATTTCCAGCTGAAAGAGATGATTGGAAGGGTAAGCCTAGGAAATTGAGTGGTATTTTAGCTTTGAAGAGTGGGTTTTGCTCTTCTCTGAATCTTAGTGAAGCCTTCATCTTCTAGTGGAGTAATCTTTCTACTTGAATGATTCGTTTCTAAAGTGATCTCTGATTTATAGTTAGTATAATAATAAGAGTAGTAAGTGAGATTAGTTGTAATCAAAGACTTTTTGAAATTAATTAAAATTGTTAGCGAAGATTTCGGGTATTAAAAAAAATTGTCTAGGTTTTGTTTAAGATTGTGACTTAGTACACAAGGAAGAGATTATGAGGTGGGAGTGACAGTATTATAATTTGAGGAGTTTATTATTGGCTTGTACGGAATATTGCTGAATGGAGTGACGCGTAAACTATATTTGAATTATGGCGGGATCAATACGGAGTATATGCTGTAGGACTTTAGGAGTGTTGACGGTTCTGATAAGATACTACTTGTGGTGGATTATGAGGTTGAAGGTTCAGCAATAGCTGGTGAGTTATGTAGGAGAACTAAAGGAGGACAGGAGGTTGAATTGGACTACTTTCTGTCTCCACTAGTGGTTACTGGTTAGGTATGAAGTTTAATCCGAAGTTAATTTAATTGGTGAAATGAAAATTGTGTTTTATATCTATCTATCCCTCTGATTAAGGAAGTACACAAGGAAGAGATTTGATATCATATGGCACAATTTCAAACAGGAGTACAGGACTATGGGGTCTTGTATTAAAATTTAACTAGCCTTTTGACTCGTGCAATGCACGGGTTATTCATAAAAAATTGCATTGAAAGATGAATTAGGAAATATCAATAAGCCATTATGGTTATAATGTGTGATAAAAAATATGGTTAAGAAATTTAATTTTTTGAATTGTAATTGAAAATGGGGATTAAATAAAGATGGAGAGGTTTAAATTAAAGAGAGAAAAGCAAAAGGTTGAACTGAAGAGGGGAGATGAAGATGAAGTGTATATAGAAGATGAAGCATATAATTTTAATGAAAGAATTAAAGAAATACAGTGTAATAAAAAATAATTAATAGTGTAAGAAGACATGTGGCATTTAGGTTAGATAAAAAGATATTGAAGTGTAATAGGATAGAGACATGTGTTTTCTTTGGTTATAGTTTTTAAATACTAAGTATAAATTAAAAACCAATACAGAAAAAGGAAATACACATAATGTCTTGAATACTTAAGTAGTAAGCCCATTGCTCATTTGCGAACGCACCCCAATTAATATGTCATATTAACGTCCCTCGTTAATATGATGGCATTTTCGTTATTATTGAAGCATCTTTCAATATTTTAATGTTTTTTGGTTTGTTGCTAACATGACACTTAATTATAGCTTGGTTAAGTGTGAATTTGAATCTCGTTTCATCTTCTCCATATATGAGTCTTCATCTCCTCAAGCTTTCATGAACAAATGTCATCCTCCATTAAAGATGCTCAACCTTTCATCCTCCATTGAAGATGCTCAACCACATCCAACGCCACCAACGAAAACCCTAAAAACAAGGGGTGAAACAAATGGTATGGGTAACCCTAAAGGGTAGGGATTTATAGTCATCTTTAATATCTCCATTGTAACTGACCATTGTTTGCCTCCACAATAATTACCAACTGCTCAGAATTCGTAAAAGCAGCCAATTTTCCACCTGGAAATCGAATTGCATGCTGCGAATTGGCGAATTACTTAAGGAATGGGATGAAGAATGCGGATAATTATTACATACAAGACAAGTACACTTACCCCAAATCGTAATTTTGTCGGCGAATTGGAGGATTACTTGCCGAATTCCGCCAATTGCAGGTGCTGCGAATTGGACGATTACTCGAGAATTGCGAGTTTTTCTACAGAACGGAGAACATACTTTACAGAAAAAGGGCAACGGTGGAAGAACGGAGTTCTTCAATACGACGTCTTAGGAACGGAGTTCATAAATGGGGTTAACAAAATTACAAATCCACCCTTCATTTACTAAATGAAATGACGCTGATGCCCCCATATAAACGGGTGGTGTTAATATGGCATATTAACTGAGATTTTCTCGCTCATTTGCTTTTATATATATATATATATATATATATATATATATATATTATTAACTTTTAAATAAATCGAATGTCCAATAAATATTGTACATATATTGTAAAGTTACCTTTAAAATGAGCAAAAATTAACCTAATATGAATTATAAAAGTCATGCTAAATTATAAAAGTTACCCAAAAAATTATAAAAGTCATGCTAAATTTGATAGAAAGTGACCGTGTCACCCGATATACAGTAAATTACAGTAAACTGGATATATATATATATAAGTTACTCCGTATTCATTTTTTTTTCATTAAAAATGCTTTGAAAGAGGAAAACATTAGATACCTCTTCTTACAAGGAGAATTTTTGTCAAACTGCTACGAGATGAGGAAGAAGACTTCACTCTAAAGTCTAAAATACCAATTACCAACCATAAGTATATGTAACAGGTACTAAAAATTGAGTCATGAGATTAAGAACCATATGTATGCGTGATTAACTTATTACAGAAATAACACAGAAATATAATACTCGGCAAACAGAATTAATGGGAATAATACTATCTTTAGATTAATAACAGAATAGAAAGTGAGAGCATAAATCATGCTACCCTTGAACCAAAAACATTGAACCAACCTAAAACTATACATTATTACATTTCATTTTGAATCATATACTATAATATGATTAATACCCCAAATAATCCTAATTAACAGAATTATAAACTAATTTCCAACGCTAACATCAACTTCCTTAATCTCACTTAATTTTCTCTCTCCTCCTTCCTTAACCTTAAACCCTTTATTCCCAAACTCAACCTTCAAATCATCCAACGCCTTCCCTAACACCGCATTCTCAGAACGCAGCGTTTCAAGCTGCCGTTTCACAGTAAAGCATGTCTCCGCCAGCTCAGCACCACTATACGAGCCCAGGCCCACCTTCTTATCCTCCTTTGCCACGTGTTCAATCCCAATCTTATTCAGCACCAATTGCGGGATCCCACGTGGCGACATCTTAGCCGTTGGATTCTTCATCAGAGATTTGAATCCCTCGGGTATCTTTACCCCCCACCGGAGCTTCAATACGGCGCCGTTTCTGATTGGGAGTACCGTTTTTGCCCTTAACTCCATCCCATCAACGGCCCTCTCAACCGATGATTTCAAGGGTAATGTCGTAATTTTACTCCCTGAATTTGGATTTTTCACCGAGAAATAATCCCCTGTATCCGCATCTACAATCGGCTTCTCAACCATCTCCAGTGAATTATCCTCCGCCTCAAAAACGGCGTCGTTTCGGTTGATCGAATTGAACGGAGATAACGACAACGAAGAAGAAGTATGCGATTTTTTGATCGAGAAATCCCCAAAATGAGGCTTAAAATGGAGGAAAAATCTAGGGTTTGAAGATGACGAATTAGCGAGGAAATTGAATTCGGCAGTCATAGTCATTGGAGCTTCAATTGGAGACCCAAAATGCCCAATTCCAGTTTTAACGAGGAGAGAGAAAGGGTTAAACGCATCGTTTGGACGATACGAGAGGCGAAACGATGGGCCGGAATCGAAGGAGGTTCCTAAACCTAATGAAAGCTCCTTCGAATCTCCAGCTGAAAGAGATGATTGAAAGGGTAATCCTAAAATGTTGAGGGGTATTTTTGCTTTGAAAAGGGGTTTTTGCTCTTCTCTGAATTTTAGTGAAGCCTTCATTTTTATTTTCTGGGTTTTTTGTCAGAGAGAAAATGAGATGAAGGTGGGTTTTTCTAGGGATTTTTTTGATTAATTTATAATAAGAGAGATTTTTGAAATGAATTAGGGAATAATTGATGCAATATGTTGTTTTTTTGTAAGGTTAGCGGAGTTTCCGGGGTTTAAAAAATTGTCTGGATTTGGTTTGCGATGGTGAGGTGAGTGGGACTGGGGAGTGTCTGTTTGTAATTCAAATTTCAAAAATATGAGTGTTACGTAGTATAAGTAAATTCAGAAGTGGATCCACGATTTTTAGGTTTGTGTTTGAAATTTTTGTCACATGTGAGATGCAGATGCTCGATCTAATTCCTTAAAAAAAGTTGATTTGGTTTGGTGATTTTGGTCTGTTTAGATTTTATAAAATTGTCTAAAATTTAACCCTTTTTTTTTTTTTTTTTGGGGACAAAGATCAACTCGAAAAGAACTAAAAATTGAATTGTATCAAAATATTGAGATGTAATTTTTTTTTATATAGGCATGAGATGTAATTAATTGAATAATGATAATAAAGTTTGTTTTAATTTGGCATTTGATTTCGACTTTTACAACTTCAATTCAATTTAATTTATTGATTACTAATGTAGATTAGTATATATGCAATCTCCCTAAATTTTTAATTTTTTTTTTAAAAAAAATCAAACAAAGAGAACTGTTATCAGTGTTAACCATTCTCTTTTATTTATTTTTTATAAGCATCATAAACAGGAAAGAGAACGGTTATTTCTTGCATATAGAACGTTTCTTGTACCCTTTCTCTTTTCCTTTGCATATAGAACGCCTCTTATACCCGTTCTGTAAACTTTACACATCGCTTAGCAGAAGATCGCCTCTAAGGCGATCTATAAAGCCTATTATAACAGTTCTCTAAGGCCTTTTTTGTAGTAGTGCCATGAGTATTCTGGCGTCTCGTCGAGCGACATTTTTCGAGCAACTTGGCTCTGATACCAACTGTCACGGTCCGAGAGTTTTGACACCGGATCGTGCGGCGCGCGCTTGACTATTAGCGACAAGGACGCAAGCCTAAAGTAAGTGAGGTTCGTAAGCACATAGCAACACGGACCAAGGTATCTTAAGAAAGCACTCGTCAACAACAGGTGCTAGGTCGGGGCTTCTGACGGGCGATACTTCGAAGCGGGCACAAGCGGAACCGACTAGATGAGGGCGTCTTTGGAGGGTCTCTTGGCTTGGTGGGGATGCTTTAAAACAAGGTTAGCACAATATCTATAAAGGCTTAAACAACACACAAGTCTTAAAGCAATAGCAAAGGGGTATAGAGCGTAGATTGAATAACCATGCGCTCCCTAAAGAGCTTTATATTGCATTAGTAGAGAATTACAAGTGAACGTTGAAATGACATTAACACAATAATTCTCCCTAGAGCCTAGAAAATAAAAAGAAAGACTAAAGAGACATTACAAAAGGGAAATTACAAGGAAAATAAAGAAGAATACATAATAAAGAGGTTGGATTCTAACACTTAGCCTATATTTTCAGTTAGGGAATATTTTGTGAACAATTTCTGATGTGCATAAAACTTGTTAATTTTTGTGAACAATTTGGTTACTTTAACCTATGTAATATTAGTAAATTTTGATTAAGGAATTTCCTTTGTTTTAGGTTCATTTTTGGCCAAATTATTGTCAAGTATGTATGGTTAATGCTTTTTTCTATCCATATTGACAAGAATAATATGTAGAAATTATTCCTTGATTTATTTGCAACTTTAAAGAATTATGAACGAAAAAACAGAATGGTTGGGAAAAATTATGAACAAAAACTCAGTAATGGTTGGGAAGAATTTACGGGAAAATACGAAACAGGGAAGAAGAAGGGAGCAGGGGTGGTTAAATAAAGGGGATTTTTTTTTCTTTTTTGTAAAGCTAGAAGTGCCACGTCAACATTCTAACCTGTTGTAACAGGTATATGACCTGCAAGGGTTGATGTGAGAAAAAGGGGGTAAAAGGTTGGAATAATTAGGAATAAACAAAAGGTGAGATTAATATGGGAGAACGGACAAAAGGTAGGATTATTCCCGTTAAATTTTGCTTTTAGATATGTGTGTTATCCTATTAATGCAAAGTAAATATATGGGTTTGCTTGTTGATGTGCTATTTGTCGCTGCCAATCCATTAATGATTGATCAATGCACACTTTATTAAATTTATTGAATTGATAAACAACCTTATTTTTTTTATAATCCCTTATATGTTGAATGTAATTGGTATTTCTTATATTGTAGAGGTATTAATTCTCATTGACTTCATGATTATTATTGTTGCTTGTTACTTTTATATAATATTATTTCTTTAATATTATATGTTTTAATGGATTATTTTTTATCTAGTTCACTGTAAATAGCCAAATTCTTCTTAGTCACATGTTTTCATATCCTCTAATTCTGTAGAATAATTAACCATTATTTGCGAGTGTTTCTAATTCCATCATTGTAATCTGAAATACTTATATGATTGCTTAAATTTTATTATGCCTTGTCTACTATGTATGCGGCTATGTATGGGAATATCTATATATTATGCATAATTGTATCATATAACAAACTAATTAGATCGTCTAGAATTTAATGATTATAACGATTAAAATTTATTAGCTAGGTATACAGCTAATTAATTAGTGTGATATAGCAAACTAATTAATTAGCTCTTCTGGTATTAAATGGTTTTTTTAGTTATAAGTTTAATATTCCATAATTGTATCTTTAAGGGTATGTGATTAAGCAGTTTCTCCATTTTATACGGAGTACTAATTCCTACGAGTAAAACAAGGCATACAACTTTAATTATGGTACTCAAAATTAGATTTTTTTTTTCTTCTTCTTCTATGGATCACAAATACTTATAGACTAGTTAGGCACATGATAATTAAACCTATGATTGAATAACTTGTTATACCTTAAATTATCATGATTTTGTTTGACATAGTATTAATGTCAGAGTAAGTTTGGTATTGGTGGCAGATTAAAAGATTCGTACTTTGTTATAATAAGTTAGGCAAGTAATCTAGATATTGATAAAGCTATTTATATACTTGTTAGTTAAGGTTTCATACTTTGTTATGAAAATTTGATTAGTAAACATAATTGTGGTCTCATTATCAGTAACCTTCCTCAAGGTTCAATACGCAAATTCTATTATAGTAAATTACTTGAACTTAGTCTTGATTGAAACTTATCATATACATATATATATATATACATATTATTATACAATCTTAGTTCCTAATTTATAATATTGTTTTATATATCAATGAATCATGTCAAACCTTGCAAAACTCAAATTTGTTGCTCGTGATATTACTGGAAACAACTATCTGTCTTGGGTGTTAGATGCTGAGATACATTTAGATGCAAAAGGACTTGGTAACACTATAAAAGAAAACAACACTGCAACAACCCAAGATAAGGCTAAAGCTATTATATTCCTTTGCCATCACCTTCATGAAGGCCTTAAGACTGAGTACTTGACTGTTAAAGACCCACAAGTCCTTTGGAGTAATCTATAAGAAAGGTATGACCACTAGAAAACTGTGATATTACCAAAAACTCGTTATAATTGGTTACATTTAAGATTACAAGACTTTAAGTCTGTAAGTGAATACAACTCAGCAATGTTTAGAATTACATCACAATTGAAATTATGTGGAGTGAAAATCATGGATGAAGAAATGTTAGAAAAAACATACTCTACTTATCATGCAAACAATGTTGTCCTGCAGACACAATACCGTGAAAAGGGTTTACAAAATATTCGAATTGATATCTTATCTCCTTGTGGCTGAGCAAAATGATGAATTATTAATGAAAAATGACGAATCACGCCCAACTGGCTCTACTCCATTCCCTGAAGCGAATGCGACATCCCATAGTGGGAAAGAGCAAAAGGCTAGAGATCATGCCAGCAGCCGTGGTCGAGGCCGTGGTCGAGGTCGTGGCTGCGGGCGCGTACGTGGATATGGTCGTGGTCGAGGTGGTCATTTTAGGAATTCATACTCTTACCAGAAGTGGGTTAATAATGATGGAAATAAAAATTAGAAGGATAAAAAATGAAAATATATGCTACCGTTGTGGAGGAAAATGGCATTAGTCACGTGTGTGTCGAACATCAAAACATTTAGTAGACCTTTATCAACAATCAATTAAACAGAAAGGAAAGAAATTTGAAACAAATTTGGTGTATGAGGATGGCGAATGTGATTTTGATTACGGTGATACAACTCACCTAGAAGTGGCTGATTTCTTTCATAATCCGGAAGAAAATAATTGAATAAATTATGATCCCCTGGCGAATAAACTCTATTAATTAGCTTGCATTTATTTTATTATAGAATTTTATCATAAACTATGAGTTTATGTTTCATGTGACATCTGTTTTTGGACAATTTTATGTTTTTGGACTTTTTTTTTATGTTTTCGGATATTTTATTATTATCGTTTATTAATTTAAGTTATTTGATATTTTGAATCTTATTTTAGTTCCTTTAATTCTATTAGAATATGAATTCCTTTGGAGCTCAATCATCAACCAATGGTGAAGATTTATGTCTAGTTGATAGGGCTACTACTCACACCATACTTAAGAATAAGAAATATTTTTTGCAATTGATGATGAAAGATATTAATGTGAGTACTATATCAGGTAGTACAAAAATTATAGAAGTCACCGGAAGAGCAAATGTTTTATTGCCAAGGGGAACAAAATTGGAAATTATTGATGCATTATACTCCCCCAAGTCTTACAGAAATTTACCAAGTTTTAAAGATATTCGACAAAATGGATACCATATTGAGATAATTAGTGAAGGAAATAATGAATTCCTTCAAATCACGAGTGTAACTCAAGGCAATAAACTTACTACGGAGAAATTACCTACATTCTCCACTGGTCTGTACTATACAAAAATCAATACAATTGAATCACATGCTATAGTAAACCAGAAGTTTATTG